CCCTTGATGTCTTCAAGGCCAGGCTGGATGTGGCTTTGAGCAACCTGGTATAGTGGAAGGTGTCCCTGCCCATGGCAGGGGGTTGGACCTAGATGATCTTTTAAGGTCCCTTCCAACCCAAACTGTTCTGTGACAGGAGACCTTTCTGGGCACCTAAGTGCTTCAGAAAGCACTAAGTGTGCTCTTGGAAAATTAGGCCCTTCTGGGAGCCAAAACGAAAGCATCAATTACCTTGCCCCAAGCCAGCTTAGTCAATAATGAAATCTAACGTGTTCCTGGTTTTTAAACACTTTGTTTAAAGTTTATACCATGTGCATGTGTCTGCTCTAAAATCGCACGTTCTTTGAACATTGATGGTTCAGGGTTGCTGAGGTAGCTCTGACAGTGAATTCCACAGCACACATAGGTTAAGTTTCTCTGATTTCTGGTTTCATCTCTTCCTACTTCAGTGTGACTCTGGCTCTGAGACAGAGGGGGTGATGCACCGGAGGAAAAAGAGGAGAACGTGCAGCATGATGGGTAACGGTGATACAACTTCCCAGGATGACTGTGTGAGCAAAGAGCGCAGCTCCTCCAGGTGACCCCATGGCAACTCTTGGTTTTTAAACAAGCAAAAGACAACACAAGGCAGAGCTGGCAGAGTTAAGAGAGAGTTATTCACTGGGACAGGGGGGTGAAGAGCGAGGGGTCCCTTACAGAGTGTAAAGCAGATGGCCAGTTGCTCCAAGCTGAAACTAAGATTCTTGGGGCTTTTTTTAATTCAGTTTTTTACTTTATTTAATAGTTTTATTACTTTTCATAGTTGTCTCTATAAAAGAGAGAGGGCTTTTGGGGGTTTGGTGTTCTTTTTTAATGGGAGCGGTGGGATATTTTAACTGTGCTCCTCAGAGAGCACAAAAGGATAGTGAGTAATTAAAGATGAGGAGTGATCAGGCAAGACTCAAGTTTCGATGCCTTGTTGTGCACACAGAAAACCTTCAAGGGGTTGTACAGTTTCTCTTATTGTTGCCTTGATTACTTCAATTTGGCCCTCTGTTTTATATGTTAAAGGCAAAATTCATCCCAAATGTCTGTGTTTACCTATTAAAAACACCCAAAGCCAGAGAAAGCGTCTAGTCAGTCTGGAGAGAGGGAACATTAATATTGCAGAACCAAGAGTAGATGTTGCCAAGGAAGGAAGTTCATTGGACTTGCCAGGTTAAAAACAGCAAAACACTGGGAATCTGAGCGTACGCTGCAGGGAGGAACTGAGAAATTCTTTGCTAAATGAAGCGTTTTTCTCACATAGCAGAGGTTTGCCAAAATTCTTGAGCAAACTCCTTGCTGTCTGGTTAACCCTTGTTGCGGTGTTAGCTGCCTGCCGGTGTTCGGGTGCTGCCTAGTTGCTGAGGAGTTGGATGCTCCATGTTTGAGGTGACTTACTGTGCGGTGTGCAGCAGTGATTTACCTGAGGAAGCCCAGATTCCCAGTATCATGCCTGACTTCCCAGTGTAGGGACTAAAGGCCTGTTGTCTTGCTGTGATCTGTTGCGCTCTTGTTCTCAGGAGTTGCTCCTAACTGATCACAGTTGAATTGCAAGTGCAGAGCATTATTAAACAGTTGAGAAAGAACTGTGCTGACTGCTTATTTTGCCCTGGAAGTTTTAACAATGTGTTGTGACATTGTCAAATCCCATTTCAGCAGCCAGTGTGGCTTCAGGCAGGGAATGAGCAGCAGGAGGTAACAAACCCTAATGCAGACCATTTTGGTGATTTTTTTTTTTTTTTTTTTTTGTTCAGTTAATGCTGTAACAACCCAGAGCTGGTCTTCTGGAAATCCTCTGTGCTTTTAAGACGTTTGCACTTTGCAGATCTGGAAACAAATACTTTAAATGTTTAAAAAGCAGCACATTGCCTAGAATACTTGCTTTCCAGGTTTTGCTGTTCTCCCTTGTTTGTTGATTGTTTCACTCTGTGAAGATGGGGGGGAGGGGGAGAGGCCTTCTGCTGCAGCTGCCTGATGGAATTAGTTGACAGAAGCAGTTCCAAACATATGACCTTACCAGGCTTGTACAGTTCTGTGGGGAGAATAAGCATACAATTAACCTGCATGTTGTGATCTTTTGTTCTGATATGGGGGGAAATGCTGTAGTTGTTGACAGGCAGTTGTGCTTTTTTTGACAGGATTAGGGAATCTTGTGGAGGCCGCAGCTACCCCTGAGAAGTGACGACGTCCACCTAGAGGCAGCTGCCCATCGAAGCTCCGTTAGCAGCCAGCCAGCTCTGTCCTACCCCCTTCTGCTTCTGTTCTCACAGTCCTTAGGTTTTTGTCACTCTTCCTTGATCCAGACATCCGTCTTCATTATGTGCTGTCAAAGGTTGGCTCCTTAATAACTCCTAGGGGAATGCCCCGACTCTACGTTGTTGTGCAATGCTTTGTCCCCTTTGCGCCCCAAGTGAGTGCACTAATAACCCAGCCTTGGGTAAGGACATGCCAAGAGTATTTAATGGTTCACATAACTGGCAAGGAAGATGACGGTCAATTTTTAAAGAACTCTTTTTAAAACCAGCAGGTAGATGTAAAAAACCTGCCTTGCTTTGACACTGTCATATGTTTACATGTTGTCCTGTACACTTGAGGAAAGGAACACCAGCCCTTTTGGCCTACCTGAACGTCCGGCGGATCTTGCACCAGAATTTCAGGAATGGAAGGTGATATGAATGCTCTGAACACTGAAGCAACATCATCAGAGGTGACCACCAGCCTGAAGCATCTTTCGTGGTCTTGATCTACACCTTAACCAGCAACAGTCCATATACTTTTGCTCTGTGCCTGTTATGATGACTGGTAACAAAGATGCACTAGCACCTTGCACTAGGAAGCACGATGGAGCAGGAGGATCTGGAGTTTCTGGCACAGCCAAAACTATGAGGAAGAAGTCAGCATTTGCCAGTAATTACAGTCCTTTTGGTGCCGGCGTGGTGTTTAGTATTAGGCAACAGCTGACAAACTCTGACGCTCGTATGGTAACAACAGTTGCTGGGCTTTAAATACCAAGCGGTTACAGGGCCGTGGGCTCGTTCAGGCCAGTGCAGTTCACATACCTAAATGTCTTTTCTTTGAGGTTATGGGTTCAGATGTTTCTGGAATTTGTGCCAAGTTTTAAAGGTCTGGGAGGGGGGCATATTGTTGTTTTATGCTTTTTAAAAATGCAATGTGTTGCTTAAGTCTGTGTAGGTGCGTTTGTGTTATGCCGGGTAAAGCTCTCAGCCCCAAGGGATCTGTTGGAGCTGCTGTGGTGGGTTTTTAGCAGGGGCTTGGGCTGGTAGTGTCAGAGAAAGAGGTCTCTCTGGCTTGGGTGTGCTGCAAGGAGATGATCCTTCTTCTCCACCTGACAAGGATCAGCGCAGCCAGAAGCAAGCTAGCTGGGTTGGGGTGCTTCCTCGGGTGCTTTCCTGAGCCCTGGGAGGTAGATATTAGATCTCACTTCAGCCATTCTTTGGGAGAGAAAACTTCAAAGCAGAAGTGATGTGAAGTGATGTGCGTGTAGTGAACATCCAAGAATGGCCAGGCGCTGGTAGCAGAATTGGAAAACAGATTAGCAGCCTTAACTCTGACTTTCTTACACCCGTTGGGTTTGATGGAACCTGGAACATCGCTGCTCTGGGTTTTCTGATCTGTATTTTTAACCTTATCTCTTCCTACTGAAACACTCTATCCCTCCTTGGAGACTAGGCCCTACGTATCCTGTTGTGCGGAAGAATCCCAAATACTTTTGTTAGGCTCTCTGTTTCTGAGTGCCGGTCACTTTGGGTAGGAGCAGCGTGGTAGTGGAAAAATGGAGATGGGAAGGTTTTCTTGGTGCATTCTGTAGCTGTCCAGACTCCCGAGTTTCCCCTGGCAGCCAGGCATAAGTGAGCACACTTGCTTGTAGACTGCTGCAGATTCTTCCATGAGATTACTTCATTTAAAAAACCCAACTTCTCAAACTCATGGCGTTTTTGGCCAAAGTTACCTTTTTTCCCTGCCTGGTTGAACAGCCTGGGAGCCTGCGCGCGCTGTACGTCTGCTCGCACCGAGCAGGCTGCCGCCACTCTCTTGGGATGAACGTGGGATCCCGGAGAGGCGCAGGAGCCTCAGCTCTGTCAGGGTGAGGGGAGCCCTTGGAGCACTGTCTGCTGCCCTCGTTGGTGGCCTGCCAGCAGGTCAGTAAGGTGGCTTACGCTGCAGCACGGTTGTTCCGCGGCCTTAAAACCCTGCGGGTGCGTGAAAGCCTGATGGCTGTGCCGGGGGAGCCACACCTCTGCCACCAGAAGCACAGTGGGAAGGTGGGAGGTGCAGAGCATCCTCCCACGCCTGGGAGCTCTTCCGTGGTGTGAAATCAAACCATCTCGGATCGAAGCCCGTGTTCGTTTGACATCCCCTGCGGGAAAGCAGTGCATTTGAAAGGCACTGCGGGCATCGTGGTACCAGCAACACCATGCTGACTTCTCCACCAGGCACTTTCTGATGGCAAACACGGGAGTATCTCCTTAGGCAACCTGGGAATCGGGACTCCTGGGACCTCTGCTTCTTCCGCGTTCAGGCTCTGGCCTCAGCTGGATTGGTGAGCTTCTGTCTTTGTTCCAGGAGATGAGGAAAATACCTACCTCACAGGGGTGTTGTGAGGCTGAAATGTAGTTACTGTGCAAGGTGCTTTGAAGTTGTCCTCCCGCAGGAAGCTTTCCAGGCATCCTGAGCAACCCGAGACTTCCTAACCTGGCGTTGGCTTTTTGTTGCGGAAGACACTGGGAACGTTATTCAGCGCTCTCGGCCACGTGGTTTTCTGTGGTGGCCCTTCCAGAATTGCTGTGTGGTACACAAATTGTAGCAGAACGAGGCTTTTTGTTCTCAGCGGAGTTTAACTGTTGGCATTTCATGGCCTGCTCTAAGCAGGGTCCTGCTAGAGCGGGGTTGTTCTTAAATCGGACTGGATTAAATTCTCTCTCATCGGGGAGTCGGCTTGACTGGCCTCGCAGGAAGCGGGGGAGCTGGTGCTTCCCAGGCCATCCTTCCAGGCTGGGTGATGAGGAGTCAAGTTAAAAACCCTGCCCCCCCTTGTGCCTAGCTCCGTGCTTGTGGGAGCCTGACTGGGGAGAGTGGGTTTTGTGCTCTCGCTTCCCCAAGCTTGTGCTTCTTGGGCATCCGTGTCTCTTGTTCCTACCCCCCTGCTTTTGTGTGCTGTAGAGCCCCAGGAGGTAGCAGGCTGCCGTGGTCCAGCACCCAGGCCCAGTGGGCCCCTCGCTTCCTCGAGCCCCAGAGCAGCAGCGCTGCTCTGCCCCAGCCCCTGGGGTGCTTTGGGGGGCTGCCCTGTTCCCCAGGGACAGGCTTAGAGTGCCTCCTGCTGGGTTTGCCCTGTGGGTGTCCTTATCCCGCCCTCTCTGGCGAAAGGCAGAGGGATCTGTGAGCTCTGGCTGTGCTTTTAGGGTGTGGGCACCAACACGGGCTTGTCCGCTGCCGCAGTCCAGGCATAGACGGGTGAACAACCCCGTGGGAACCATCCATGTGAACAACGGGGCGCGCTGACCTCGCCGCCTGTGCTGTGGGCACTTGTGATGCCGGGGAGCCTTCCTCAGCTCGGGTACGCTGCCCCCAGTTTGTCTTCCGTTGTGTTCGGCCTCCTCGGAACGCTCCGAAGAAAGTCTGCCACCTCTCCCGTAAGGAACCTGAGCCGTCTGCCCGATTCCCCAGCCACCCTGGGGCAGGCAGCATGACTGTTGGCTGGATCGGATCCCAAATGCCTGCGTGGGCTAATTGGGATGGCAGCATTTTGGCCCCCCCTTTGCAAAGTGGGGGGGAAGGAAAGAGCTGACCGATGGGGTGGACAGTCCTGCTGTCAGCTCCCAGCCCTGCCACTGCCCTCAGCTGCTCTTATCACCCCGTCCAGCAGAGCTGGGATACTCGTCATTGTCTCGTTTGGATGACTGTGGTTTTGCTTTGTATTTTAAATAAAATCAATTATTTTGCATTTCCCTGTCAGCTACTCACATTTGTCATGATCTGTAAAACCTCCCCAGGGGTACACCTCTGCCTCAGGTACCACTGTGTGCTGCGGGGGGTGCAGGCAGCAGCTGCTGGGGGCTTTGGGGGTGTTCTCCAGCGGGATATCCGTATGGCGGGGGTGTTGGGGGGGCGTTGGGAGAAGGTTTGCATCAGTAGCTTTGTCACCAGGCTGCAACGTGCGCTTTGGCCCCTTCCCTCTGTGTGTGTTCCCCCCCGGCTACCAGAAGCCTGGTGTGTTCAGGTGTCACGTTGGTGCTTTCGGCTCGGCTCCTCGGGGAGGCAGAGAGCGGCTGCGGAAGGGCTGGACCCTACGGAGAGATGGACCTTCCTTCCCCCAAACCTGGGGGTCAGGGAGAGAGATGCCCCCGGGCGCTCCCCTGCACCTGACGCTCCGACCGGCTTCGGCTGCGTAGCGGAACAAGGGCTGGGAGAGCGGCGGAGCATCTCGCTAGCGAAGTCTGCTGGCGGCAGTAACTGCAGGTACGTCAGCTGAGAGGGGGACAGCAGCCTGGAGGCTTTTGGAATCCTCGTATGGATACACGGTAGAAACCCCTCGGAGAGTAGATGGTGTTGTGGCAGCAGACGGCGAGTTTGCTCGTTTCTGCAGAAACCTCTGCTCTTCCCAAATGCTGCTGTAAGCGCTCTTGTTTGCTGTCACCCATAAAACCAATTTTTTTGCTTTCCTCCTTCCCAGTTGCCCTTCAGAAGATCTCTGCCCATTGGCACCTTCCGTTCGGTGCTCTCCAGCTCGCTGCGGCCGGGCCAGCGCAATGAGCCCGCGCTCTCCACGTGGGCGCTCTGGGCATTCCACAAGGCCCGCTTCCAGAAGAATGAAAGCTGTGGAGAGCCACTTTTATAACATTCCTTCAGCTTTTCATTCCCAGGAGAGGCGACTGCGTGCTCCCAGCTCCTGATTAGCAGGTACTTCCAGATTTATTGTTGTTCCCCCAATTTCTGTACCTGTCTCCTTTGTTGGAACCTAATGCCTGCTGTCGACAAGGAAGGCCGGGGAGCCAGCAGGACAAGGTGACCGCCTGGGAATGCCTGGGTTTGGGTGGTCTGTGCTGCACCCCTGCCCATGTTCTTCCTCCAGTTCGCTGCGAAAGCGTGGAGCGGCCGCTCCGTGTCCTGTGGCAGTTGGAAAGCGGGTCACGGGGAACAGGGCTGTGTTCCTAAGCAGCCGCGTGGTTTGAGGCTGGTTCAGGGCTGAACTGACAGGCTGGCAGTGTCGCATCTTTTTTCCAAGGATTATAAAGACTCCTCAGTTCGTGGGGAAGTGTAAGTGGAGGTGGGCGGAGCTGATCGGAAACGTGTTCCAAAGGAAACAGTCATTCCGTGGTTTGAGAGCTGGCAGCTCCCACCGGTACGTGGTGCCTGTAACCGTGTGTGTCCCCTCCTTCAACAGGAGCCGAAACTGGGGGCTGCCACCGCCGCCGCGCGTGTCTGCGCAGCCTGCCGGGGCCCCAGGGCGGTGTGGGTTCTCAGCTGTGCTGCTGCAGGACTCAGTGCTGGTATCCATGAGCTTTTGGCTGACTGTTGGGGCCAGCGGCTTGCCTTCAA